TCCCGGGCTCCCTGCTGCCATGTGACCTCACGCAAGTGGCTTCAGCACCCGGTGCCTCAGTTCCCCCTTTTGCACCAGCCTCTCAGTGCTGAGGTGCGTGAGCAGTGGACGTGAGCTCTGGGGGCCCCGTCCCAGTACTGCCTGGGGGACAACAAGCCTGGGCGGGGGTGTAACAGGAGGGGCCCTCGTGGCCTGAAGGCTGCCCGCCCAGTGGGGAAGGGCCTCTGTGTCTCCTCCACAGGGTGGGGCTGTCCCTGGCGGTGTCTCCATGATCAGTGGGTTGACCACTAGGAGGCCGTAGTGGAGCCGCTTGAGCCTGGCCAGGAAGTCCCCCCCCCGCCCCCGCCCCCGCCCCCCGGGGGGCCCCGGGGGGCCCCGGGCCCCGGCCCCGCCCCCCGGCCCCCGGGGGGGGGTGCCCCCCCCCCCCCCCCCCCCCGCCCCGTGTCTGGGGCTGGGGGAGCCCACGCCCCACAGGATGCCCTCAACCAATACAACGGCGCTGCCTCCGGTCTGGGCCGCTTGTCAAGGGGCCAGTTTTCCCGGGACAGACCCTTATTGTGGCCGCCCTTCATAGAGGGCCCCACCGGCCGAGGAGACAGAAGAATGCCACTTACCCCTGAAGCCACAGGGACACGGCCGGCCGTCAGGCCTTCTCTGGCCACAAGACAAGGGGGGGCAGCTTCAGGCTTCACGCTGGCCGCTGACCTCGCCCACTGTCACCCAGCCTGTGGCTGAGACGTGCCTGCAGCCGCTTCAGCCCTGGTCCCCTCACCCTCACCCCTCAGGAGTCTCTGTCCCAGAATCAGAAGCCGATTCTGCTGGGAGTGAGGGACCACGTGGCTCTGATTGGCCAGGCTCTGACGACGCACCCTCCCAGCCCAGGGGTGGTGGGGAAGGAGGGGACTGGAGGAAGGTGAGTCTCTGGGCCTCACTTTCCCTAATTGTCCAATGAGGGAGACGGTGACCATATCCCTTATTCAAACGGGGCCACTTATGGGAATGAAAGGGATGCTGTTGGTAAGCACACCGGACAAGGGGGACCGAGGACTCAGGGCATCCTGGAGGTAGGCCCCATCCTCTCAAAGGGCCGTCACCGCTCTGGAAGCACACGTGGGTTCAACTCTTGGCTTGGCCACCTTCTAATCTGGAGCCAAAGTTCTCCGCTGCCTGGGCGTCAGTTACCTTACCTGTGAAATGGGGTGAATTCCTGGAGGGAGGGCAGAGGCTGCAGCGCGGCGCCAGGCGCACAGGCACCCGTGGACCGCTGCCGGCCCGGGTGCTTTCTCCCAGTCCTGCCGTGCCCCTTGCCCTGCGGTCTGAGCCTGTCTGTGCGGCTGTTGTCCACTGCCAGCCTGGGGTGGGCCCAGACCACACAGGGAGCGGTTCTGGAAGGTGAGGGGCCCGAGTGGCCACATTGGGGGTGGGACCAGGCTGGGCAGACACTGTGCACACGGGTCGCCTGCCCCGCCTGAGCCCCCAAGGGAAGCCTGGCCTTGCCGGCTGCCATTATGGTTAGGAGCTGTGTAATTAACTCTAAAAACGGGAGGCTGAGGAGGAATTAAAATAGAGGCTTAGTGGAAATCAGAGGCGAGTGGTGTAGAAAAGGCTGGAGCCGGCTGGACGCCGCAGCCGGGCCTGCAGGGCGGGCGGGAAGAGGGTCTGGAGCTGCAGGGCTGAGGGCGCCGGCGCAGCTCTGGTTCAGGCCCCTCCTCCGGGTGGGGGGTGGGGGTGGGTTGAAACAGCTGAAGTCGCGGTTCTGGGCATCTGAGATCCAGGTGACCGCAGGGTGGGCTGTCTCTTGGGGTCTTGGTGGAAGAATGTGTCCCAGCCCCTCTCCCAGTTCCTGGTGGTTCCTTGGCTCCTGGGAGCATCACCTTAGTCTCCACTTCCGTCGTCACGTGGCCTCCTCCCTGTGGGTCTGTTTTGTGAATTAAAATTTTTTATGGTGGTGAAATATACAAGACATAAAATTTACCATTGGGCCTTCCCTGGCGGTCCGGTGGTTAAGGTGCCGCGCTTCCAATGCAGGGGGCGCGGGTTCGATCCCTGGTTGGGGAAGGAAGATCCCACATGCCGCGGGGCGGGGTGCGGCCCAAACCACAAATCTACCTTCTTCTTCTGGGGATCCATTGTGTGTGTTATGCTTCACAATAAAACAGGTTAACACCAATAACAGACAAACAAACAAGTTTACCTTTTTAACCGTTTTTAAGCGTACGATTCAGTGGCATTGAGTACATTGACAGTGCTGTGTAACAGGCAGAACTTGTTCAACTTCCTAAAGTGAAACTCTGTCCCCATTAAACACTAACTCCCCAGCCTCCGCCCTCTTTCTGTCTCCATGGATTTACTTATCCTAGGTCCCGCATGTCAGGGAAATCCTACAGTATTTGTCTTTTTGTGTTTGTGTTTCTTCAAAAATGTCCGGTCAAGGAAGACAAAGACTGGAGTGTTTTAGGTCCACACGTTCAAACCAGTAGCTGTAGCCGGTTTTGCTATTAAATTTAAATTCATTAGAATACAGTTACCTTAAAAGTGCAGTTGTTGGGCTTCCCTGGTGGCTCAGCGGTTAAGAATCCGCCTGCCGATGCAGGGGGACACGGGTTTGAGCCCTGGTCCGGGAAGATCCCACATGCGGCGGAGCACCTAAGCCCGCGAGCCACAACTACTGAGCTCGCGTGCCACAACTACTGAGCCCATGCGCCGAGAGCCCGTGCTCCGCAACAAGAGAAGCCACCGCAATGAGAGGCCCGCGCGCTGCAACGAAGAGGAGCCCCTGCTCGCCGCAGCTAGAGAAAGCCCGCGCGCAGCAACAAAGGCCCAACGCAGCCAAAAATAATGAATAAATTTATTTTAAAACAAAGTGCAGTTGTTCAGTTGGACTGGCCACATCTCAAGCGCTCAGCGGGCACGTGTACCTGGTGCCGCCCTACTGGACGGCGCACACAGGACATTTCCATCCTTCCAGAAAGTTCTGTTGGAGAAAGCTCTTCTAGGTTCATGGAGACAAAAGGGACGTGATGACTAAAATCGTGTGTGGGCCGAGATTGGATGCTGGGCCAGAATATATTTTTTTCTATCAGGACGTTTTGATTGTCCTTTATCTTCGTCTATTGAAGAAATGTGAGTCCTGTCTCTAGTTGAGGTAAGGTGTGGGACCTACGTTGATTGCCTGATTTTGACATTGGTGCTGGGATTGTGGAGGGGGGTGCTCTTGCTCTCAGGAAATACACGCTCAGATGTTTGGGGGAAGGGGGTCACGTCTGCATTTTACTCTCAGGTGTTCAGAAAAAACACACACACACACAGACGTACACAGATAAACAGATACACACTGATACAGAGGTACACACACATATACACACAAACACACAGATACACACAGATAAATACAGAGATACAAACACAGATGCATCCTGATACGCACAGATAAACACACACACATACACACTGAACCACACAAACACACAGAGATACACAGATAAACACACAGTGATACAAACACAGATACATCCTGATACACAAAGATAAACGCAGAGAGATACACACCCAGATCCACACACCCAGATACCCACACACACAGATATAGTTAATATACTACAAGCGTGTAAGCTGGGCTCTTCTCTGACCAGTGACCAGCTCCAGCCAGGAGGGAGGAGTGGCCCCATGAGGGGGGTGCTCCCCAGCCGGGGGTGATGCCCACTGGGTGCACCTGGGTGGGGAGATTCGCAGCTCTGCTGGGGCGCCGTGTGCCCTGCGGGCTTTCTCAGCACATCTTGGTTTGCGCTGGGCCTGCGTAGCTTCTGATTCTGACTCATCCTTCATCTAAATCTGTCTGTTCGTCTGAATTTCTGGTGAGGAGTCCAGGCTCTCTGCAGGTCTCTTGAATTTGAGCTGTTGGGCCCTTAGTGAGTGGTTACCATGGGGACAACTGGTCTGAACCCTGGGTTAGCGTTCAGCTGTGTGCACCGTGGTCCTCACCTCGTGGACGCCCACGCCGAACTGGACTGTGTGGGCTGATGGCTCCCACCCACCTAATGCCCAGTCTGTGCCGTCAGGGTGGGTAGTTAACCCAGCCAGGCACGTCCTGTTAGGGAACCAGGCCTCAGGAGCCGAAGCCACTCTCCCCTGGTCCCGCCAGAGTCATTGGACAGGATTCGAACCCAGGGCCCTGTGACTGCAAGGTCTGCGCTCCAGGCCACCTTGCCTGCTGCCCCCAAGTCTTTACCAGCTTTTTCCACGGGGACTGAAGCTGGCGACCCTGTTTGCCCCCTCACCGCATGCCTCCGATTGTGTTGCCAAGCCCGCTGCAAGCTGGGAGCTCAGACTCTGGGTTACTGGGTGGAGGAGGTACTGTGGATGCTGATCTGGGATATTTTTTTTTTTTTGGCGGTACGCGGGCCTCTCACTGTTGTAGCCTCTCCCGTTGTGGAGCACAGGCTCCGGACGCGCAGCCTCAGCAGCCATGGCTCACGGGCCCAGCCACTCCGCGACATGTGGGATCTTCCCGGACCGGGGCGCGAACCCGTGTCCCCTGCATCGGCAGGCGGACTCTCAACCACTGCGCCACCAGGGAAGCCCCTGATCTGGGATTTTGATGCTGGCCTTTGTGCTCCCAGTGGCCCTCTGCCTGTCTGGCATGTGCTGCTCCAGGGGTCCCCATAGCTGCTGTAGGGCTTTGTCATGTGTAAAGTAACGGGGGCTGCGTCTGTGTGGGGAAGGCAGTGTGCACTTGTGTGAGTGCCCGCTCTGTGCCTGCTGACTGAAAAGCAGCCTATTTTGTTCCAGCCGTGATTGTCGGAGTTGAAACGTGTGGATCCCTGGGCAGGGGCACGGGGCAGATGGCCAGGAATGGCCAGGGCCAGTGGGATGGCCGTGGTGTCTTCTCCGAGCAGGGAAGCGCTGGTCCAGGTCGGCGCACGGAGGCAGAGTTTGCAGCTGTTAGCGTTACTGCCCGTACAGACCGTGCAGGTTGAGTAATTTTCCCTTCTCTCCTCTAGTTCCTGTGTTTGAAGAACATTCGCACCTTCCTTAAAGTCTGCCACGACAAATTTGGACTCAGGAACAGCGAGCTGTTTGACCCCTTCGACCTCTTCGATGTCCGAGACTTTGGGAAGGTGAGTGGCCTCTTTCCGGGATGGGCCCCTCCGCGCAGAGCCCGGTGGGCAGGTGCAGGCCTGGCTGTGTTACAAACAGGAGGGGGTGCATCGGGGGCTGGGGCAGCAGGACGGCCCCTCCCGCCTCTCAGGCTGCTCAGGGTGAAGTCAGGCATCCTGAATCCAGGAGGATGAGGGGAAAGCCGGGCCTGGACGAGGCCAGTACCGGGGATGCAGCCCTGGCCCTGCCTTTCTAGCTGAGCGACCCTAAGAATTTACTTCCTGCCCCGAGTATCCCATTCTTTGTGGGAGAAAGGGCACCAGCTCCGTGGGTCAGCTGAGGTGATGCAGGTACCGCTTTTACTGTGGCGCTCCGAGAAGGGAGCCGTCAAGATTATACTGAAACAAGCAGGGCCGTCTGGCTCTGAGCAGGTGTCGGGCAAGGCGGGGGTGGGATTATCTGAACTCCCTGGTCCCTGGAGGTGATTCCCTGGGTCCGTGGCAGATAACCCGGGAAGTCTCCCCGTGTTCTCAGAACGTGTCCCTGGCAGCTGTCTGGGAGTCCTGCTGGCACAGGTGAAGGGAACCTGAGGCCGGGCAGGTAGGTGCAAAAGGCCAGGTGAGGGTATGGCTCGTTGCGGCTTCCTGGTGAGCCTGTGTTCAGAGTGTCAAAGCAGGGTGTCACGTTCCATCTGGAAGCCAACAGTTCCAAGGTCCCTCATTTTAAAAGATGGGGTCAGGATGTGATACCTTGTTGATGGATCAGGGGCCGAGGGCTTGAATCAGGCCTGGCTCTTTGCCGCCCTGTGGCCCAGCTGTTCCTGAGTTCCTGCGTGCTCTTGGAGGGCCCTTCCCTCTGCTGCCGGCCCAGGACTACCCGGGGCCATTTCCACCTGCTGGTGGGAAATATCAGAGATATTTATTGCCTGCTTTATCTGAGGACCGTTATCGTAAGGGACCTGGTGTTTGCGGACGAGTTCTGTGAATACATGGTTTATGAAACGCGAGGGGAGTTTTGTATTTGCACTTGCAAATGCTGAGGAGTCAGTTCCAAGAAGAGCCCTTATTTGAAGTGCTGTAAAGTGTCAAATTAGCATCAATGACTAGGAGTTTCCCATAAGCCACCTGGGCCTGACGGTCCTCTTCTTTAGTTCTGAAATTCTCTAGAAATGAGATTCCGGGACCTGTTCAAGAGCCTGTCTCTTAGTGTCAGCACTCAGCTCTTAGAGGTTTCTCTTCCTCTCTTAAATGACTCACCCAAGTCCCTCTGGCTGTAGGGCACTTGCCCAGGACTCTGAGGCCGCCTTCTTCCCCTCTGCCTGGGGGCGTGTCTGCTGGGGCAGGAGCCTTGGGAGCTTGCATGGAGCTGTGCTGGTGTCCTTTCCCATAAGCGGGCTTTTCTCAGTTTTCACAGTCTTGCTTTATAGATGGCTTAGAACCTCTCTCCTGTTCTTATTTCTCCTTGTGACCAGCAGTGTGCCCTGGGCAGGGGAGAAGCCAGTGGCTCTGGACTTTGGGGAACGGCCTTCGGAACACATACACACACACACACGGACACACGCACAAACACTGATACACACAACTGGTATTTAAAATAATTGCATAGAGGAAAAGACAGGATCAGCCCTGGCCAAACCCATTTCTTGGCCAGCTGTGACACACAGAGCGCCCGGTCTGTAGTAGGCGCTCATCACTTTACTTGAGCCGAGTGCAGTCATGTGACACGTACATAAATTTGGATTCGACTCTCATCACGTGAGCTGCCAGCCATGGCCGAACACTGTGAAAGGGGGCACCCCTTATGGTCGTCAGCGGCTCCAGTGGGGTGGTTTGGCCCCGGCGGGACGTGCCAGCTGCCTGCAGAGGGGCCGCTCGGGGCAGGCCAGGAGTGGGCAGGGGATCTCGACTGTGAGTCACGGTGTGGGGGCCGGGAATGCAACGCAGGAGCCGAGGGGCCTGGGCTCAGCCTCACGTCCTGCAGGGAGACCCGAGGCTCTGGGAAGGGCAGGGCTGCCCTGGTTCCGTTCCTGCCCTTCACGTCGACTCCGACAGACCTGGTTCATAACCTGGGTCCACTTACTGGCAGTGACTCTGACCCACCTCGGTTTGCCAAGGACCACGTGGGCCGGGGAGCCCTCTGCCTGGTGCCCGGCCCATAGTAGGTGCTCATTAAACGGCGGTGCTGCCCCCAGGTTTAGTGACCAGCACACGTTGGTGGCAGCTTCCCCTCTCTTAGTTTCTCTGCATCGTTTTATTCGCGCAGACTTCCGGAGCCCAGCCTGGCCCTCCCGCCGTCCTCCCTGTGTCTGTCTGGCTGAGCATCCGTGTACTGCTCTCCCACTTACCTGCCTAGTTTTCTGAGCGTGGTAAACCCGTGGTCAGCAGCCTGAGCTGAGTTTGACGTGGGGCCAGCAGAGGCTGGGGTGCCGAGAGGAGCTTCTACCCATGTGGGAGCCACTGACCAGAGCCTGCTTTGCTCGGCTCGTCCCCCCGACGTCCGGGGACAGGATCCCCTGGAAAGCACGCACGTAAGCAAGACCCCGGCTCCTCCCCGCTGCACCGCTGCCTGCCCTGGTCCCGTTTGGGGACTGTCCCCGCCCCAGGGCAGTTGTGGACGGGCAGGTAGAGCTGGGGCTCCAGACTGCAGGACGGGAGCAGGTCTGGGGAGGTCGGGCCCCTCACTCAGGTGTGACTTCCTGGGATGGGCTTGGGAAGGCCGTCACCATGTGAGAGTTGGCTCTGAGCACAGAGACAGCAGACACTCGCCCAGATTCCCACGGGCCAGATTCGCCTTTTGCCCTCCAGGAGCCCCATCCAGTGGGGACGCCGAGGCTAGTCCAGATGTGCCTGGCGGTGCTCAGTGATGTCAGACCATGAAGATGTGATGCTTGTTCTGCTGTCCCCTTACTGCCACCACCAGCCCGGCGCGGGCAGAAGGATCGATCAGTAGGGTCGAGTCCAGTCTCTGCTGACCGGAATTACCTGGAGCCTGTGTTGACAGTGACACCGAGGCCGATTCTTGCCTGGTTGGGAAAGGGCTTGGGGGTGGCTGTGGTCTCTCGTGGGGGTGGGTGGGAGCAGGGCTTTAAGGTTTCTTTTGCACTTTTTGCCTGGGCGTCCTCCACTTACGTAGGATTCAGGAGCAGAAAGAATCCTTATGGGATAGCTGGCTACTTATTCTTAGGCTGGTTTAGAAATTTCCAGGTCTTTTTTTTTTTTTTCTTTGCTATTATTGAAGGAGGCTTGTAGCATTCAGGTCCTGTCTGGGTTCTGGGTGGCGGTGTTCTTTTACTAAACAGCTACCTCTCAGCTTCCCAAGTCTCTCAAATTGGAGTCATCCCTTGAGAAGCGAAAAGGCATTCACTCCTTGGTCCTTCCACCCATCTACCCGTTAAGCATTCAATTGACCAAGAATTTATTAAACACTTACTATGGCAGAGATCAAACAGAGAGACTTGCATGACCTTTGCCTTCCGAGGGTCACCCAGATGAGCCGTTGTGCAGGTCACGGTAGAAAAAAGGGGTGGGAAAGTGAAGGCTCTGAACTCTGCCCCTGGAGCTGGCCGTGCTGGCCCGCCGTGTGGCCGTGACCCCGGAGCCCTTCCTCTGTCGTGTGGGTGCGGAGCGGGTCACGTGCAGTGTGAGCTCGGCTGCAGCAAAAGCCCCCCGTTGTAGGGGAGTGATCAGCCCTCTTCCCAGGAAGCCACCGAGCGGAGTTGGGCTGATGCGCCGGCATATTCTACCTGTTTCCAGAACCAGCAGGGTCCCCCGCCCGCCCCCTGGCCCCTGGCCCCTGGAGAGGAGGTGATGTTTTGGGGTGCATGAAATTCCAGAAGGTGTTTCCTGACCCTGGGAGGAGCGCTGGGAGGGGCAGCTCATGCCGACTGGGCTCCCTCTGCTTCCCGGCCCGCGGCAGGCAGGTGGACCCCCGGAGACGCTGGAGGGCTGCGGGCCCCCGGGTGCAGCCAGCCTTCTCATCCATCCAGAGCACGGCGATGGAGGGGGTGGGCGGCGGGGAGGGGGGCTTCCTGTCGGTTAGACCCAGTGTGGATCGCGCTCTGCGGGTACTTGGACTCTCTGAGCTTTCGCTTCTGCAGGGATAGAACGAGGACGTGACCCCAGGGTGCGGTAGTGTTACGCGGCCTCGGCCAGGAAGCAAACATACGGGTCTTATCACTTTTACTAGTAATTTGTCCCTCTGCTCACCCATCCGGCGAGCTCCAGCAGGCGCTGAGGGATCCAGAAAGTTGGTTCCGGAAGTCTTTTTTTTTGGCCCCTGTCCCTGGTATTTTCCCGAATGGTCGCATTAAAGGTATTAGGTTTCTGCTCAAACCAGTCCCGTCAGGGAAGGTTTGAGCGAAGGGCCCGAGATGGGAGCTAAAGGCCAAGCCGCCTGGTGTGGAGAGCGTCAGCCGGTGGGGCTTGCTGCTGAGACCCGGGCCCTGCTCCCTCCTTGACGGCTCCTTCTCGCGTTCCCTCGAGTCCTGTTCTGGGCGTCCGTCAGATGCACAGGGCCCAGGAAGGGAAGGAGCGCGGGAAGGCCGAGTGGGCGGCCGGGATGGGCTGGGTCTTCCCGGGGTGCCTTAGCGTGGAATCTGGTTGGCAGTTTTGGACGGAGGATCCTGGTGAGGCTGCAGGGTTTTTGTGGCTTTCTTCTGGTGTCTTGGTCCCAGGGATTGTGGATAAAAGTCACCGTGGAAGGACAGCCTCGTCTCCTCGCTGTGAGCCTCCTAAGTAGGGCGGTGAAGTGGTGGCTTTGCCAACACGTCTGGTCCCGCCTGGCATTGCTGCTGGGGTCGGTCCAGGCAGTGACCCTGGGCTGGCGACTTTCCCGGAACCTCATTTCCGCATCTGGAAGATGCGAATGGTCGTACCAGCTCTCCCCCGTTGATCGGCGCCCCACGGGCGCTGTGTTACGGACAGCTCTTCGTGTGGGCTGGCACCCGGTGGTCAGTGAACAGATGGAGATTTCACCATCATCTTTGTTATAATCCTTTGTGGACCAGCCACCTACTGGGCGT